CCCGATCGAGTTGCGCCGCCTCGACGCCGTCGCCGCCCCGCTCTGCACCTCGATGTCGCCTTCGCCGTCGCCATCGCCGCCCCGCTCCGCACCTCGCCGTCGCCGCCCTGCTCCACTCCTTGTTAGGTTAGATGTGTAGTAATCTAGATATATGTAGTTCATAGATTTTGTTGTTAGATTAGATTTTTTTTGGTTAGATTAGATGTGTAGTAATTAATTTGTTTATATTATGTTAGATTTTTTTGTTAGATTAATTAGATTTTTTTGTTAGATTAGATGTGTGTAGTAATTTAGATATGTAGTTCATAGTTTTTTTTTGTTAGATTAGATTTTTTTGTTAGATTAGATGTGTAGTAATTAGTTTCTTTATATTATGTTAGATTATTTTGTTAGATTAATTAGATTTTTTTGTTAGATTAGATGTGCAGTAATTTTGATATGTAGTTCATAGATTTTTTTTGTTAGATTATTTTTTTTTTGTTAGATTAGATGTGTAGTATTTAGAAAAAGGAAAAAAAATAAGAAGTAGTTTATATATAGTTGAACTAGCTAGTTGATTTAATAAACTAATTTATTTTACTATATATAGAAGTAGTTTGTTTTTAGTAAGTACTACTTATTTATTTATAGTGAGTGCTTAGTAGTTGAACTAGATAGTTGATTTAATTAATAAAACTACTTTTATTTAACTATATATATATATATATATATATATATAAGTAGTTGCCGCATCGACGTCGGCGATGCCGATCCCGCATCCTCGTCGTCGTCGACTCGGCGGTGGAGGCCTGCTTGATCAGGGCCATGTTCGGGACTGGGCTCCGCCGGGCTGGTATTGGGAGGTGCTACCTTCCGGGGGACGTAGTTTGGTGAGGAGGCAACCCGTTGTTGACCCGATCCTTGTTTGGTGGCGGTCGCGTGGGCCAGTGATGGTGGTGAGGCATCCGGACACCGCGGAGGTGGTACGTCACCGTGTCAGCGAGGAGGACGATCACGTCTGTTGCTACATGGTTGCATTGGAGGGCAGATTCGACAATACCTGGCAGGTTCTTCAGGGATCTCACTGGAGCTATGATCCTGTGATGGTTCCTTATCTTTGGGTGTCCACCGCCCGCGTCGATACCCGTCGGGCGCTACGGTTCTAGTTGTATTAGTGATAATATTCGACGATGTACGGACACCAAGAGATGATGTACTTTTGCTTATAATTATTGAATTCATGCTAATTTGAATACTATACTTTATTTTATGATTTGGTTTTGCTTATTTTATGATTTGGTTTTGCTTATTGAATGCTCATATTGGATAAGTTCTCCTTCATTCCCGTGTGCTAGACAATTTGATATAATAATGCATTCCGGAATGAACGGAGGAGCTACGTACATCGATCATCGATAGTCAACCCGTGATTAATAATAATGATCTAGTTTAATATTTGAATTATGAACGTAGGCCGGAAATGTCGTACTCATCGGATGAAAAAAACCGCCCGGGGGAGTGCGACTGGTGCCACGACGACCGAGGTATCTGCGACAGGTTCATTGTGCTGGACGAAGATCGTCGCTTCAGCATTAAGCTCGAGGAGACCTTCGATGTTCATACGGTACGCAACCGACGATAATAGTTTTTTTTCGTAATTACTCATGACTTCAACTATTTTAATCATGACAATATTTTTCATCTTTTCCAATTCGACTAGCTTATCCCATGCTTTGCAAGACGCTATGTCTTGGAGAGGATGGGTTTTGAAGACCATGAAAGTTTCAAAACAAAAAAATTATCCTAAGTACCCATCATGGTGTGGATTTTCAAGTAAAGTTGTACAATGCTCAGAGTGTAACCCATTTTGGTTGCAAAAATTGGGAAGCACTTTGCAAGATGTATGGTTTTGATGAGGGTATGCTTGTTACCATGGATCTTGGTGATCCTACAATCGAGCAAGAGAGACCTACAATTTTCGTCCTTGTGGATACACCTCCAATTCTTCCCCCATGTAAGGAGTTTCTTGGAAGCAACATTCAGCGAAGGGCAAAAATTGGAGACAGGATGATCGCCATTCTTCATAATGGAGAGTCAGGGTCTATATTGTTTTATGCTATTTTACCTTAAGGGTGTTTAGGTCCTACCTGATACTGATGATCATGTGTTAAGAATAATTATGTAGGGTTGGGTTCGATGACTATGAGGATGATGATCGTATGACTTTTTATTAATAACGAGTAGAAGTTGTATGATGATGCATGATTAGTAGGATGAGTACTTGTTATTATATATGCTGATGTATGCGAGCATGCATAAGTTATTATATCAGCGGGTAAAATGAACATATATAGCAGCAGCGTTGGTAAACCAAGGACGAAGATATAAGAGAGGACACTTCTCTCTATTAGCTAGCTAATATAACAACCTAAAAATAACCCCCCAAACCCCTAAAGCAGCCAATTTCCAAAAAAAAATATGGACTTTGGGTCCCGGTTGGTGCCACCAACCGGGACCAAAGGCCCTCTGACTGGGCTCGGTACATAGAGCCACGTGGAGGCACATTATGTTGGGGAACGTAGCAGAAATTCAAAATTTTCCTACGTGTCACCAAGGTCCATCTATGGAGAAACCAGAAACGAGAGGAAGGAGAGTGCATCTACATACCCTTGTAGATCGCTAAGCGGAAGCGTTCAAGAGAACGGGGTTGAAGGAGTCGTACTCGTCGTGATCCAAATCACCGGAGATCCTAGTGCCGAACGGACGGCACCTCCGCATTCAACACACGTACAGCCCGGTGACGTCTCCCATGCCTTGATCCAGCAAGGAGAGAGGGAGAGGTTGAGGAAGACTCCATCCAGCAGCAGCACAACGGCGTGGTGGTGATGGAGGAGCGTGGTAGTCCAGCAGGGCTTCGCCAAGCACCGCGAGATATGAGGAGAAAGAGAG